CAAATCCCGACAGCCTTAGCAGCTGTCGGCTTGTAGTTCTCAATGAACAACCATGGTGCTATGGAGTGGCATGGTAGTTCATTAATTCTTCCTGTCAGTATATATGCCTACCCGTACATCGCATATGGGCAAGCAGATATACTGACAGGTCTGCAGGAGACCTGCTTGGCACCAGCAATCTACTGACTGCAGGTGCAATGCTTTACAGGCTCCTGCAACAAGAAATAATAAATGCACATTTTTTACCTGCAATAAAATGTGTGTTTATTATTTTTTGAATAAAGGTGAACTTATCCTTTAAGGGCTAGATCTACGTAGTTTAAGCGCATGTACAGCCAACTTCTGCATTTAATCATGTACAGCTGAATGTAATTGCTGTTGTTTTTAACTGAATGGTTTTTTTTAAGAATTTTTGTTGAACGTTTTTAACATTTCTTTGTTTACTTGTTGCAATAATACTATATATGTGTGTAAAGCTACAGTACTTTGTCGAAGGAGGTTTTAAATCTACTACCAAAGGAGTAATATCTTTCTGTGAAAAATACAAGAAGACCTTATTACAAGCACATAAATAGCAGAAATTGCAACAAGGATAGAGAAATGAGAACGGATAACTCATATTTATAAGATGGGAATGCTTTCGCTTTATTTCTACTGAAATGTTCTGTAAAGCCTGATATTTTTAGAAGACCAGAGGGACACTACAATGGAAACATAAAGAAATAGAAAGACAAAGAAAGACAAGGATTATGTAACCAAAATGTAGTAAAAGTAGAACTCAGCCAAGTATTTTTCTTAGATTTTTATAGCGTGGAGAAGGATTACAACATCTGTCAGGTTTTTATTACTATCTATACCCATTGGGAAGAGTTACATTTTTTATGGTGTCCCAGTGGCAGGAATAGGTAGGAAATATCAGAGGGGACACAGGCAGAAGTGAAACACAACAACCTCATCCTCTCTCTATTCAAAACTAAACTATTAATGTAGATATAAAATCAAAATGGCCTCCATAATGAGAACACTTTATGGGTAGATGCTCTAAGACAGGGGTAAGCAACCTTAAAGTGGTGGAGATCTAGCTGAACCACATGGGAGAAGTCAAAGATCACCAGGCCCAGTGTCACCTCTTTATAGCTGAAATTAAACTTTTAAAGCGATTCTAAAGGTTCATTTTTTTTTTTGTAAAATAACAAACACTTACCTACTGTGTGTAGCGGTTTTGCATAGAGCAGCCTGGATCCTCCTCTTCTCGGGTCCCCCGCAGGCTCTCCTGGCTCCTCCTGTCTGTCAGGTGCCCCCAAAGCAAGCAGCTTGCTATGGGGGCACCCACGGCTCCATGTATCCAGTCTCACATGGAGCTGTGGCTTGGCCCCACCCCCTCTCTCCTCATTGGCTGACTGGCTGAGATTGACAATGGCTTCCGCTTGCTGTCTCAGCCAATGAGCAGGCAGAGACCTGGAACAGCCAAGGCTGTCATTCATATCGGTGGATTGCAATGAGGCTCAGGTAAGTATTGAGGGGACTGGGGGAGCTGCTGGACACAGAAAGTTTTTCACCTTCATGCATAGAATGGCATGACAGCCTTTACAACCACTTTAATTGCCGTACAGACGTGTCACAAGCGTGTGCATAGCACGGCAATCATGAGTTTAAACCAGATGGTGAGGACGTAAAATATCGCAGTGCTTGAATGAGCACTTAGTTGCATTGGGCTTGTTCACACATAAAGTTGGTGTGCACATGCTGCAGCAGGAATTAAACCCCTATCCTTTTCACTTTAATTCCTTGTTTCCTGTGCTGCACAATGTCACAGGGCACGTCCTCATTCACTTGAATGGGTCATGCTTGGTAGAAGCTACACCCACCATCCATGACAGGGCATATAACTCCTGCAGCTGTGACATATGTACACCCCTGGCCACTGCAGCTAAAGGAGGTGTGGTTGGAGCAGGGGTGGTAAAAACACATCTTAGCTATAGAGTTTTACCATCCCACAAATGTAAAGGAATCCTTACTGTCCTGAGCCCCCTATAAGGCTGCTTTCACACTGATGTGCTGCAGTTTACCTGCACCGTAGGTGCAGTGCAGTGCATGTGCGACTTTCCAGGGTTAACTGCGTTCCCAACCAAGGTTGGGAAGAGGAGTGGCAGCTCAGCTGCTACACTGGCCCCAGACACCCGGCATCTTCCTCTGTCCTTTCTTCCTCCCCCTCTGCTGCCCCTCCCCTCAGCTGAAGGATCCTTCATGACCTGGCAGCATCTCACACAGAGAGAGTGCTGGCCTGTGCTGCTCCCAGGCGCCCCCTAGTTTACCTAGTGGAAGCACTGGCCCTGTACTGGGTAACATTTTTTTTTTGTCTGACAAAAACGAAAACATTTATGTCCTAACATGTTGTTTTTGAACCCTAAGTAAATAAAGAAAAAGTCTCCAAAACATATTTAAACAGACTACACAAAGTCAGATTTTGTTTAAGAATGAAATGGTAAGATTGACATAACTTTTCAATAATGAGGTAGTGTGGGGGCTGACCTAAATAATCCATTCATTTATATCCAGTCAGATAGACTGTGCACATGTTGGTAAATATTGCTGAACTGAGAGAAGCAAAATCTGACTGTGGATATGCAGAATTCAAGATATCTATGTATAGGATATCTCAGCCGAATGTTATGCAGAGTCCCAGATCTACAGTACAGAAGAAAACACTCCAAGGTCACATAGAAAGATAACCAGAATGTCATACTTGGTTAACCTGATGTTATGTCTTTAACTACATGCTGCTGTTCTAAGCCTGGTGTGACTGCTGCCATAGATTAGAGGTTGGGAAGAGGATGGGACTTTACATTAAGAGCAATTATACCATATGGAGAATGTTGAAAGGTTGCCAGGTAACCATGCCTATTATCACTTGGGAGTAGAAATAACACTGAAAGGACCTCTGAGTTTCTAACATGTGTTGCAATGTCTAGAAGTCCCTATTCTTGTGACTTTTGTAATCTCCTCTCAATGGACCCCATGAAATAATTGCATTAGGACTTAAATAATAAAATCACTGTACAGGAAAAATAAACCAGTTGGGAACCCACAGACTCTGCAAGAACACATTGATTTGAATTGCTGCTTTAATACTTGCTAAATACACTTTCTCTTCTCAGTGCCATATGGTCTATGATGGAAAAATAGCAGTCAACAAAAAAACAAACATTATTCCTGTGCAGGCAGTATTGTAACACTGAGTCTCACAGCACCCTTTCTCTTTCTCAAATTTCTCTCTCTGTACCCTCTTTGTTTCTTTCCTTTCCTTTTCTTTCCTTTCCTTTCCTTTTCCTTCATTCTTCCTCTTCCCTTTTCTTCCCTTTCCTTTCCTTCCTTTTTTCCTTCCTTTCCTCCTTTTCTTTTTTTCCCCCTCCCCCCGATTCTTTTTGTCCTTTTTTGCTTCCTTTCCTCCTTTTCTTCCCCATCCCCTCTTTTCTTTTCTTCCTTTTTTACTTCCTTTCCTCATTTTCTTTTCTTCCCCCTCCCCCCTTTTTTTTCCTTCCTTTTTTCCTTCCTTTCCTCCTTATTTCCTTCTTCCCCCTCTCCCCTTTTCTTTTCTTCCTTTTTACTCCTTTCCTTTCTTTTTCTCTCTCCCCCCTTTCCTTTCCTTTCCTTTCCTTTCCTTTCCATTCTTCTTCCTCCTCCCTTTCCTTTCTTTTCCTTTCCTTTCCTCTTCCCCCTCCCCCTTTCCTTTCCTTTCCTCTTCCCCCTCCCCCTTTCCTTTCTTCTTCCACCCCCCCTTTCCTTTCCTCGCCTCACCTTTCCTTTCCTTTCCCTTTCTTTCCTTTCCTTTCCTTTCTTTTTCCCCTACCCCTACCCCATTTCCTTTTTTTTTTCCTCTACCCCATTTCCTTTCCTTTCTTTTTTCCTCTACCCCATTTTCTTTCCTTTCCTTTTCCCCCCCCCCTTTCCTTTCTTCTTCCACCTCCCCCTTTCCTCTCCTCACCTTTCCTTTTCTTTTTTTCCTCTACTCCATTTCCTTTCTTTTCCTTTCCTCTTCCCCCTCCCTTTTTCCTTTCCTTTCCTTTCCTTTCCTTTCCTTTCTTTTCCTTTCCTCTTCTCCCTCCCCCTTTCCTTTCATTTACTTTGCTCTTCCTCCTCCCACTTATATATTCAATATTTGAAACAGTTTGGCCATGGGACTAAGTAAGTTACATGTACTAAACTATTCTAGGTCCATAGCACACTGTTTGGAAACCTCAGTCGCATGGATGAGAAACAAATCCTACATTTGGAGTCTTTAAAGTGGTTGACATGAAATATAAACAAAATATATCCCTTTGTAATGTGTTCTTGTCTCAATTAAAAGCACTAAATGTAATTTCTGTCTGCTGCCTTGTCGCTCTGCTATCTGAATGAATCACTTCTGACACGTTTTCCTGACACCAAGAAGAAAATAGTGACATGGGAGGGACCTCTAGCAGATTGACAGCCTCAACTCAGTTCCTGTGTGCTGTGTACAGGGGGGTGTGCCTCTTCCCTCCAATCAGCTCTCAGAGCTTTCCTCACTGAGCTCTGCAGTGTGTAATTTCATCTCTCCTGCTTTCTGACAGTTCAGACAAGCTTTAAAAATTAAGGACTTTTAACAGTTGTAGAGAAGAGATGATTCAGATAAACAGATACAACTTATGTAGGAAGATTTGTTTAATCTCAGTGTGTCACCCAAGGCCAGTCACTTCAATGGGTATGTGGAAGGGTTTACAACCACTTTGAATTCACAAAGGCCACTTCCACAAGTCTCTCCAATCTACAACTACATAAACAACTTTTTGGCCTTTCTATCCCATGCATTGATGCATGGTCTTTTCATCGAGTTGCTTATTGGCCTTAACCACCTCCCGACCTCTGTGCGAGGTCCTGATCGTGTGATCACTGATTGGCCAATCAGTGATCACATGCAGAGCAGTAATCAAGATGTCACTTCTGACATCATTGCTTACTACCAGGGGCGGACTGACAACTCATGGGGCCCCCGGGCAATAGGGGATCATGGGGCCCCTGTGTCCTTGCCCAAACTCAAAAAGCCTATGAAAATGGTACCAGGGGCATCTCATGGGGCCCCCTACTGACCCTGGGCCCTCGGGCAGTGCCCGAGTTTCCAAATGGTCAGTCCGCCCCTGCTTACTACGTGTGAAATCTGTGAACGATCACAGAGGTCACATGGCACAAGGCTATTCACAACAGCCTTGTACCATGTGACAAGCTGTGACCAATCACAGCTCACACAGTAGTTCTCAATTGCTGCAAGAATGCAGCCAAGGAGAAGGAGAAATGATTGCTTTTACAGCCTTTATTGGTGTAAAAGCAATCAGTGTAAAAAAAAAATTCTTCATCACCCCCCACAAGTAGTACAGTGTCACCCACTGTACTGCTAGGATGACAGTATGTAAAAAAAAAAAAAAACATAAATAATAATATTAAAAAAATAAAATAAAAATGTAAACAAAAAATGTTTTAAAAATTATAATTTTTGGTTATAAACTAATTTGGGTTATTTCTTTTTTACTAAAAAGATAACGGAATAAATTTTGGCCAAGATTTATGATGAAATATTATTTATTTGCAAAATTGTATAAGAAAAACACTATTTTTTTTTTCAAAATGTTGGACTTTTTCATTTACATAACAAAAAAAATAAAAATCCCAGTGGTGAATAAATACCACCAAAATAAAGTTTTTTTCTGTTTCAAAAAAAATGCTAAAAAATTCATATGGGTACAGTGTTGCATGACCGCTCAATTGTCATTCAAAGTGTGATAGCACTGAAAGCTGAAAATTGGCCTGGACATTAAGGGGGTAAAAGTGTCTGGACTTGAAGTGGTTAAACATGAACTCATGGTAGATATAATCACATAATCATTAGTACATTGTTATTGTATTTTTAGATGCAAGCAGTAGAAGTATTTGAATGTGACGTGGTATCAGCCTTCTGTAATCCTTGTGAAGTAGAGCTCAAACTGAGAGAGAGAGAAGCAACGCAAAGGACAGAGAGGTAAGCTCATTGGTCTTCTTCAATGTCTACTGTCTAGTCACAGGCTGGAGGAGGGACAAGACCTGTAGAAGTAATTTAATTGCAGCAGAGAAAAATCTGGTCTTTTGCCCAGCAAGATAGGGCTGAACTGTGTGTGAATGTTGAATAAATCTCAAAACTGGATTGTCAGAAATACAGATTCATTAGCAAGCAAAAGAACTCCCTTTTATGTATTTTATCAGTGTAATTAGCTATTTCCCTGGAGTTCAGCATCAAGTCCTGTTACATAAATGGGCATACAAATCCTACATTCTGTATCTTTTAACTAAAAAAAGGCAGTTTTCATAATTCTGTCCACTCTAGACTTACATATACAACTATAGCGATAAGTAAATGTGTACAAAATGGGGCTTTATAATTGACACACAGCAATTACAGATACAGTAGCAGAAATTCTTGTAAGAATATTATCATATCTTTGTTCAATAGTCTTCCAAAAGAAAAGGAGCTTTTCGATTTACAGAAATAAAAACTATTTCAAAAACTTTCCAGAGTTCAGTGTTGAATATAGTATTATAAATATACAGAGATATGAATATTGCTTTTGAAGCTTTTTTTTTTCCCATCCAATGTGTTTCTTGGCACAAATTCCACCTTCTTAAGGGGGCATATGAAGATCTGAAGAAATTCTAACATATGCCACATTGTGTCATATAGTAAATATCATATGGTTTAAATGCAGCCATACTGGAAAGCATAATGTAAAAGAAGAGAGCTCCAAAGTGTAGCTAATACTCCAAAATGGATCATTCCTTCCCCAGTTACTGTAGTGGTGGTGATTGAACCCATATGGAAGAAAAATATATTTGAAATATATTTTTAAAATATTCTTTTGACTATTCTTTTAAAAATATATATTTTTTTAAAATATATTCTTTAACATATAAAAAAGTAATTTTAACATATATTTTTACATATATTTGTAAATGCATTCCAAAAATGTAGATTTGTATTTTTAAAGACATACAGTATATTTGAAATGCATTTTTAAAAATATTTTTCATATATTTTGTAGAAAAAAAACACATTTCAACATGCAGTCTGTATATATATATATATATATATATATATATATATATATATATATATATATATTGAGATATATTTTGAAATATAGTGAATATGGCCAAAATTGTAGCATTGCAAATATATGTCAAAATATTTGGGAAGAATCTTTCAAAAATATATTTCAAATATATTTTTATTCCATGTGGGAATGAATTGCCTTTTTTAGGCCCCATGCACGCTGGGTGTTTGCCCAGCTCTTCTAAACATTTTTCTCCTGGAAGGAGAAATGCAGCTTCAAAAATGACCCTAAACTGCATTTTTGCAAACATTACACTTGTGGGATGCTTTGAATGTAATGCATTATTGCCCCCGGCATCCCCACTCGCACCTCTTGGGGCTTCCTCTGGTTTGAACCAGGGGAACACCTCTACTTTTTAGGAAATGGGCAGTGGATGGGGGGGTGAAATGGGGCAGGCTTTATCTTTCATTGGATATCTTGAGGGAGCAATATGGCCATCCATTCCCTCAAAGTGTCCATGGATGCCTGTTGTATAGACAAATTCATCATTTGTGCATAGTTTGGTGCCAAAATTTTGCCTCTGTACTTTGTAAAATGCTTCAAACTGCATCCCCGTCTAGTAGGCCTTTTTTTATATCGTGGGTGAGAGACTTGCACCATGATTTTTCTAAACTCAGTTTGATAATTTTTATCAGCTGACCTACTTTAGCTCTGTCGATACAAGAATGCAAGAAAACAATTATAAGCTGGTAACGTGCTGGTATAGGGTGCCCTCTAAATTGGCAGTGTTCTACCCTTTGCAGTCTGGAGGGGCTGTTGCCAGTGCGGACCTTTCCTACAAACTCAATCTTTCCAAAACTGAGCTCCTAGTATTCCCCCCAGCCCGTGCCCCCCCCCCCAACTTCTCCATCAAGATCAATAACACAATCATCATTCCCTCCCCTCATGCCAGAGTACTAGGTGTAATCCTAGACTCCAATCTGTTCTTTCAGCCCCAGGTCCAATCGCTGACAAACTCGTGTAGACTTCACCTCCACAACATCTCCAAGATATGCCCATTCCTAACCTCGGAAACTACTAAGCAACTCATTCATTCCCTTGTTATATCACGCCTCAACTACTGTAACTCCCTCCTCATTGGCCTACCTAATCACAGGCTATCCCCACTTCAGTCCATCATGAATGCTGCTGCCAGACTCATCCACCTTACTAACCGTTCTGTGTCTGCCACCCCTCTCTGCCAATCCCTCCACTGGCTTCCCATTGCCCAAAGGATAAAATTCAAAACACTGACGTATAAAGCCATTCATAACACTGCCCCAAATTACATCACCGACCTTGTCTCTAAATACCACCCAAACCATACTCTCCACTCCTCGCAAGAGCTCCTACTCTCTAGCTCCCTTGTCTCCTCCTCCCATGCTCATCTCCAGGATTTCTCCAGGGCTTCTCCCATCCTCTGGAACTCCCTACCCAAATCTATCAGACTATCGCCTACTCTGCTCACTTTTAGGCGCACTCTGAAAACCTGAATTTGCCGGGACAGTCACACTTTTTACCAAGCTATCCCAAGATGGCCCTGACAGCATCCCAGAACCTGCACTGCACTGATCCCAGTATTGTGCCCTCCTGACCCCCCCTGTACTGTTCCTTTTTGCCCTCCTCCATACTGTGCCCTATGTGTTGATTAGTATTTTATTTATGGCATGTTTTCTTGTTGTTTAAAATTAATTTTATTGAAAGTACTAATACTGTAAAGTACAAATGTTTGACTATTTATAATTTAATTATTGAGAGAAGGTGCATAAAATGGGGCAGGCTGGTAGGAGCCCCAGTGCATTATTTTGCCCATGGGGCCCATGTTGCTATTAAGATGACCCTGCCCCCCCCCCCTCTCGCTCTCTCTCTGTGTATATATATATATATATATATATATATATATATATTATATATATATATAAAATATATACTCTACTTACCTTTAGGCGATCATTGAAAACCTATCCCTTCAGGGAAGCCTATCCTGCCCTCTGCTAATACTGGAATCCTCTACGCTTCCAACCACTCCATCCCCCACAATTTTACCTATTGTACCATTCACCCCTCCCTCCTAGATTGTAAGCTCCAAGGAGCAGGGCCCTCAATTCCCTCTTGTATTGAACTGTATTGTTACTGTATTGTCTCCCACTATAATGTAAAGTGCTGAGCAAACCTTTGGCGCTATATAAATCCTGTATAATAATAATATATATATATATATATATATATATATATGCTTGATTTGAGAGATTTTATTCAAATCTGCATATGCTTCCCTAAGAAGGTGGACTTTGTTCCAAGAAACATGTCGAATGGCCATAACAGTTTCTTATAAAGTGTTCATATTAATCTATATATTTAATACTGTACTGAAACCTTTTGAAAATGTTTTTATTTCTACAAGCAGCTTCTTTTTTTATTGAGATTCTATTGAAATAAGATATGATAATGCTTTTAAACATTGTCTGTGATTACTGCAACAAATTACTAACAAATCCTCATTTTTTTGCATCTTTACTTATATCGATAGTTAATTTAGGGGTCTGACATACAGTAATATAAGTTTTCTTGCTCTTTTTACCTCTGTGTTTATTTTGCTTGTGCTGTAGGAACACACAGAACTGCATGGGCTCACTGCCCATGCCTTGATGCATGTTCTTTCCCTCTAGATGGTTAGGGGTCATAACACATCATTACTCACTATGTATATATATGTTGTACCAATAAGGTGTAACAGTGTAAAGGCGAAGTACTCTTTTTAGTCCATTTGAAGCCAAGTACACTTGCCAATATAACTTCATGAACAAGCAAAGCACCTATAATGAACATCAATTCTCCTGTTTTTTCTATAGAAGTTTTCTCAAGCTGCTGGACGTAAAGTACTTGCTTTATCTGCTTGTGTAGCCACTTTTAAAACAAGTCAGCAATGGCCATTCTCTACTGGTATCCTTCCAGGCTCCCCTAGAAATTGCTCTGCAATAAATGACATCTTAACAATTGTCATTAAGATATGCAGAACCATGCAGAAAAA